CCGCCTGCCCTCCCGCCCGGGGTCAGGGGTGGGGTGGGGGCCTTCCCGGGAGGGGTGTCTCACTCCGGGTGGGACCCCAGGCAAAGACCCTCTCCCCTTCCCCTTCACGATGAGTGAAAACCTGTGGCTTTTTGTGCGTCTTTCCCTCCCTCCTCAGGGCGGTTGCGTCAGCCTGGGGCCAGTGGGAGCTGATCAAGCCCTTTCTCCCCATTTTGCCTTCGCTGGGGAAGGTCGGCAAAGAGGGGGGGCATCTCTTTGAACCCTCAAACTGCTAATACACCGCTTTTGAAAAAAGCCACGCTGTCACTTAGTTAATCAAGGGCCTGATGGAAACTTCCAAGCATTTGCACCTGATGCCAACCCCTAGAGCCCCTATAGGGAAGGGAGACCCTTCCCCACCTCAGTCTGCTTCTAAAAAAAAAAACTTGGTCCTCCCAGCCCAGTCAACTAGCTTAGGTTTTGCCTGTGTGAGAAAACCAGACTGCCTTTGGAGTAAGGAAGGGGTGAGGGCACCGCAGAGCCCCCTCCCCGCCACCTGCCCTCTAGTGGCTGCGCCAGGCTGGGGGCTACTGCATGCTTCCCCCTCAGGCCCACTTTTAGCTGCTCCCTCTGGGTCTCCTCGCCTACCCAGCTAGAGCCAGCGTTCGTCCCCTTGTGCCTTTTCTCCCCTTCTATCCTCATTCCAAGCCCTGTGGCTGCTCTGAGTCCCTCTGCCTTCCCTGCCTTAGGCTGGAGACCAAGGAAGGGATGGAGTCAAAGGTCCTGGGCACACTTGCTTCCATCTCAGACCAGGACCCTCTTCTCTGTCCCAGACGCTTCTCAAACTGGGAGGCCTTGTGGGCACCTCTGAAAAGCTCTCCTGCATCAGCATCCCTGCCTTGTAGCCCGTGGCCCAGGTGTGCCTTTTTGCCCTTCCCCTCCCCTTCAGCCTCCCCTCCCCTTAATTTCCTACAAAATGACCCTGCCCCCAATCTCTCCCTTCTCCTCTGAGCCAGCAGAGTAACCTTACCCATCTATTTGTCCTTTCAGGTGCTCAAACCTGTCCTGACACCTGGAGGTCTGCATGAGGGGTGGCCACCGGAGGAGGGGGTCTCAGAGGTCACAGGAGCTGAAGGGTCCAGTCAAGTGAGCTCTGGCATCCCAGGTGAGTGCAGATACCTCGGCCCACCGCCCCTTGGCCTAGGCAGGCCCAAGGGCCTCCACACACACTCCCCACTTGGGGATGAGACACAGGGAAGCCAAGGATCCAACATTGAGGACCATCCTCAATGGCTTAGTCTTTGGCAAGGAAGGCACCCATCATAGATGACATAAGGAAAGACACAGTACCCCCAGAGTCAGGCCCCCTTCCTGTCTTATCCCCATCAGGAGCTGGGCCTTTGTGTTTGGAGGTTCCCAAGTCCCCATTAGGAAGGGGAGCAGGCCTCACTCAGTGGGGCTCCCAGTTTGCTCTCCACTCCCCACTTTTGGGGCTACTTCAGGCCTCTCAGGGGCCCAGGAGAGGTGCAGAGTTGGGTCATTTGCTGAGTTCAGTTTCTCCAAGGAAACTGAATCCTTGAGTTACGTCTCCTTAACTGAAGTTCAGCATAGGATAGATAGAAGTTTTAGGTTATGGATTTTTTTTTTGAAGGGAACACATTAAACTCGAAATACATTTACTTTTTCTATTAACCTGCAAAGTCCTTTGCTACAGAGCTTTTGTTTAGCTGCCTTTCTGAGCTTCCGTGTCATGTTAGATTCTTGTTGGGGAATGTAGTCCGAAGCTTGGCAGGGAATTTTGAAACCCCAGGGTTGTTAGATTTATGAGGAAGGGAGAAACTAAGCGACCTGGCTAATCCCTGGATGTTACGTGAGCAAAATGTAGGAAGCTGTTAGCAATCTTTGAGGGAAACTTGAGGCTCATGGCCGAACTGAAGCACATGGCATGGAAGGCCTCCAGATCATCACAAAACAGGCCCATTTGCTCTATTAATGAAATGACTGCTACGTAGATTTTGTAAAATGTCTACATTTTGAGAGTGGAACCCAAATAATAACTAAATTGGCTCAAATCCTCCATAATCCCACCATAGAAAGTGGAGGTAAGGTCTTCAAATCATTGGCTGAGCCTATCTTTTTAAAAAACTCCCCTTTGAACATAAGATTCTGAAGTTTTCATCATGTTAGAGCAATAGGGTTGCTGTTCATTCAATAAATTAACATCCCTCCCTCTCCCCTTTAATTGCTATCTCAATTGCAAGAGAAATCTAAGAAAATAACATGGGGGGAGGACTTTTGTGTTTTGTTTTGTTTTGTTCTAGCTGAAGGGCAATCTCTTCTGATCATGTTTGAAAAACCTGTCCATGGGTTAAACCTCAAACTTAGATATAATATGTAGTATGCCAAAGCTGGAAAGTGCTTTTGAGGCTATGTAAATTGAAACCTTTGTTTTACAAATCAAACAACAGAGGTTCAGAGAGGTTAAGTGATTCCATCAAGGTCACACAGCTGGGGCTCGCTCAGACGCCGGTTGTTTATTGTCTCCTCTGGGCTCTTTCTTCCTCACTAAACATTTTCTACCACTACCAAATAATACAGATAATCCATAAACACAACCCAGAGCATTGTAACAGATTCCCTTCCAAAATGACTTGCATTTACGAAGGGGGGGGGGGTGGTTCAAAGAAGAGTTTACTGAAAGGATCTTCTGCAAGTAATTAGCATTCTGGGGGTATCACTAGGTTAAGAAGAGCTCTCCTCCCTTGCCTCTGACATGTCCTAGACCTCAGAGTCTTCCTGTTGGCCTCAGTTTGCCGAGGGAGTTGTTAGCACAAGAAATTTGCTGTGTCACAGAATGCGTCCCTTGCTCTCTTTCAAAATCTCTCCTAGGAGCAGCTCTGTGAGGACTAGGCCCTCTCCCTAGCCCTCTCCTCTGGGTGGCAGTTTGAGTCTCGCCTTTCTTGTCTGCTGGGTTTGATTGTGAACTGTTTGGAGGGGAGGGAAGGCCTGCTTTGAATTCTCCAGGATTTCCTAATTACTTTACAAGCAAGGAAGGTCCTCAAAAGGAGCTTTCAACCAAGCAGGCCTGCTCATAGGAAAGCTGCTTGGGCTGGCCAATTTTAAGCTTAAGATTGACTGCCACCCCCTAGATCTAACTTCACTTAGTTTAGCTTTACATATTTCCATCAACCACAGCCATTTCGATACCATATTAATCATGTCCTCAGCACATAGGAATGATAGCCGTGCTGTGTGTGCTATCTCAAACAAATTATTCTGGTGGCCTTTTCCATAGACTCTCCTGCTGTTCGCTCCCCCACCTCCCCTTTGGGATATGCACTAGCTGGCAACTTCTAACTAGGAAATAAGATGCGTTTTTTTTTTGCTTAAAAAGAAATGGATTGGGAAAAGGAAAATGAAATGGAGTGAAAGATATGATTAAGTTAAAAGGCAAAAAAACACCAACTGGCAGTGGAAAGAGTTAAAACAGCTAATCCTACTACTTAGGTCCTGACTACTTAGGTTCATGACCTTGAAGAAGCAGTTATATCCTTTCTAGGACTCAATTTCTCCGTCTATAAAATTAGATGCGTTAGAGCTCAGACCCTTCAACCATCCATTTATTCAACAAACATTGAATGTTTTTTTTAAAAAAAAAATATTTATTGAGTCCCTACTGTATATCAGGCCTTATTTTAGGCATTGGAGATATAAGTAAAATTTTTTCCCTTTGATAACCTAATGAAACTATGGACCTTCTTCCCAGAACAGCAAAACAAGAAAAAAACCCCACAGATATTTTACATACAATTTCAGGGAGTTAATGACTTCCTTAGGCTCCACGAACCCCAATTTAACATTTTTTCATCTAGTTCAGTGGTTCTCAACCTTCCTAATGCCGCGACCCTTTAATACAGTTCCTCATGTTGTGGTGACCCCCAATTTCATTGTTACAAATTGAACATAATTAAAGCATAGTGATTAATCACAAAAACAATATGTAATATATGTGTTTTCCGATGGTCTTAGGCGACCCCTGTGAGAGGGTCGCTCGACCCCTAAAGGGGTCGCGACCTACAGGTTGAGAACCGCTGATCTAGTTAATCTCTAAGGCCTGTATTTTACAATATCAAAGTTTGAAGCTTAGGTTGCATCTTCAAATCTTGATTTCTAGCTGTTCCTTTTTTTTTTTTCCTAGTAGCATTCTGTTGCATTTTCATCAAGCATTTTGCGCCCCGCCCCGCTTTGAGAACAAATACTTAAAACTTAGTTCATACTTAGCAAAAGGCTAGAATAAATCTTGAACAGAAAACGAGTAACTGAAAGGCAAGGTGGGCCTCGAGCTGAGGGACAGAAGCAGATGAGAAGTTTCAATGACCAAGCTAGCCTGGTTCTGCGTGTTCTTGGCAAAGTCCAGGGGAAGTCACAGCTAGATGGGGTGGGGATTCCTTGAGAAGGAAAGGAATGGTGCGTTTGTTGCATTGTTAGTCTGGTTGACTGGTCCAGACTGCTTCTACATAGCACAGCCAGGGGCTTTCTGGCAGCAAGTCAGTGAAGGAGAAATTGGAAGTCTTTAAGCCCAAAATGGATACGGAGAGGTCACTGTGCAAAGGTGTCTTCCTAGTTCCCAGCCTTTCAGAGGCTCTTCCTTTCCTGCAGGGCCTCGGAGTTCCTCCTGGCAATGAGAAAGGCCTCTGTCAGGGCAAAGGGCATTTACTGACGATAGCAAGGGTCCATACGGATGTAAACTTTATTTTCAGGGGGAGCTAGATGCTCTTAGTCAACACTCCCAGGGTGCACCACCAGTGGAAGTCTTAGCTGGGGGGTTACCCTGGAAGTGAAAGGCCCAGATTAGGATCTGCACTTGCAAAGATTTTGTAGTAGATTGTGGGAGGACAGGGTGAAGTGTGTGTATTTCTACTGAAGCAAGAAAGCAGCAGATTGCTGCTGCTGAGCCTCAAGTATAGAAAATCCATCTATGTACAACTGGTTCTTTATGTTTTCTCAATTTCCTCGTCTGTAAAATGGGGATAATGACAGCAACCATAAGGTTCTGGTGAGGATTAAGTGAGATTATACATAGATAGTGCTTTGTACCTCATCAGTGCTCATAAATGTTAGTTATTGTCATTATCATCACTATTATTATTATTAGTGTGGGGTTTTTCCTGCTTGATACTTATAGCAAGGTTTATACAAGGTTTGGATCACAGAATCAATAGTCATAGGGCCAGAGTTATCCCCTGCATGACAGATAAAAGATAATCTTTTCTGGAAGCATCTGTCCATTTGCTCCATAGTCTGCCAGTACTCAGGATTACCCGGCTAGAGCAAATCAGAAGAGCTGAGGGGAAAATCTTTTTCTCTCCTTTATGCATCCCTACACAAAGATTATCTCTTTGTAGTTTTATTTCCCTGTAATTCCTTTCTTTTAAGTTATTTTAAAAATCTGTTGAATTTAATCACAATTGTTTTTGCAAATCACTCTATACTTTTTTTTAAAAGTTTTGATTAGGGGGAAAAAGCAGTTCGCCTAGGACACTTGCCATTTACTTTTTACTTTCAGCTTATATCCTAAATTTTCAGAGCTTAAATGACTCCCTCCAAGGAGAGAATAAAGGAAAAATAGAAGGACAAGAATAGATAACACTATTTGCTGTCATAAATGATATTTTCTTTTTCCTTTTCATACATCCAGGGAGGGGCAAAAGTAGGTTTACATTGTGAGTATGTGAAATACAGAGTTTATTCTTGTATTATTATTTATTAATGATAGTATTAATTTCCATATAAACAATTGTAAACCTACTTTTGCCCCACCCATATTTTACCTTTGTTCTTTCCTTTTTCCAGATTCATTTTTTATGCCCAGGCTTATAAATCTTTTTGTCTTCTCTTCCTTTTTTGTTCTCTCCCCCCCCCCCCCCCTTCCCCAAAACAATCTTAACTCGCCTCTCTTTGATGCACTTAACTTGTCCTATCAGGCATTTCTTTTGTCTTGGCTGCAAATTGCAGGGGTGGTCATGGGCAGAATCTGATGTGGTCTCTATGTTTTCTGGGTAGCACTAGGACAAAAAGGGCCAGGGCCACACTTGTACCCTCGAACCTGTCTAGCACGTTCAAAGACATTTCAAAGGGAAAGGAAAATATGGTTTTCTGGTTTTG